GGGCTGAGTGCGCAGGACAGTAAGCAAATCCCGGGTGGTGGGAATGGGCGGCACCACAACTTGGACCCACGGAAAGGCCCAGGCTGAGGACAAAGGGAGCTGTGCCAGGCGGGTCACTGGGTGCCGGAAGTTGGTCGCAGTCTCCTGTGGGGTCCGCATGTGAAGCTCATGAGCTCAGATTTTGTTCTGTACCCAGGAGAGAATTAACAAACTTAAAAAATAGATAAATGATTGAACTATTGAAAAACTTTACCACGAAAACTTGTATACATGACAAAGAATAATATAAAAATGATATTACATAAAAATTAATTTCATCAACTGATCCACAAGCATCAAGCTTTTGCCACTTTTGCTTTATTTTATGTAAATGAGTGGCTTTAAAGCAAAGCTCTCACCTGATTCCACTTTGCCCGCAAGTCTTCTTCACATATTGGTGTGTTCTTGTCTAACCACAACCCATGTTCACGGGTGAGTAAGGTAAAGTGTTTTACTGGCATCGTTTAATCAGGCCCACCCTCAGATAGCTTCAGTTACCTCATAAATATCTATTTGATCCTGTGTCTGCTCAACTTTGGACCCCAATTAGTTTGCCGTGTTGTCCGAGGTTATAAGTGTTCTTCGGAATATGAATTTGGAGCACTTCCTTCCACCCCACCAGCATTCATGCCCACACCACTGACTTACAGACAGCATGGTTTAATGTTCAGTCATTACTTCACATGCTGCAGTATTCTGTTTGTCCTTGCTGGTGCCATTTAATTTTGTATTCTGTCTTCCTATTCCCTACAACTGGCAACTGACTGCAGAAGGCCTGAGATCAGCTCCAATGTTTTCAGGGTGAGAATACTTCACAGGAGGCATGGTATACATCATAGTGGATCCTCCTGGGAGGAACTTCCCATCCTCAGGCACACTGGCAGTGACGCTAAGACTGATGTGAGAGGTGGCTTTCCAGAAGACAGCTGCCCTGGAGCTGTGTGGAGATCAGCAATGGTAAAGCTAGGAGCCAGCACCAGCTGTAGGATTTACAGTGCTACAGGAGGAATGGGTAGACATGATGTAAGGCAGGAAAAGTGGAGAAACAGGGTCATAGACTTAAAAAATAATTCTGGGGTAGAATTATTGGAAGATTGGAAATCGAGTCCAAATTTAATGAAGGATGGGAGTCAGGGTGGGCGGGCAAGAGAGGAGGGGAAAAGACTACATGTTCCATGACGGGAGGGGGATATGTGTGTTTGGCTCAGTGCTGAACCTGTAATGCTTAGCATGGCACTAGACACATACAGTTACTCAAGACGCATGTGTTCATTATATATTTCAATGCTTGGTTGATTGGATGAATGGATGAATACCACTGAAACTTCTAAGAGTTGACATGATCAAAGTATGTTACATACATGTATAAAATTCCAAAAAGAAACCCAATCATCTGTATAATTAATATGCACTACTTTTAAAAATAGGAAAACAAGAAAACTAGATGGCTGTTCACACTATTACCAGAGATCAACAAGTTGGGGAGAGAATACAGGATTTCCTTCAAATTTGACTTGCCTGTTGGATATTTGCCTTAATTATTAGAATCTCAGGAAAATGCTTAGAAGCTTAACATTAAATTTATTTTCCAAATTGTACAGCCTTAGCATGTAGAAAAAGACAAATGAATCTCAACTTATTCATTAGCATGCATAACTGGATTATAGGATTGTAAAAGGAAATTTTGAAAATATTCTTTTGGCATCATATCATACAGGAGAAGTTTCAGAAAGTTCTTGGGATGATGATAAGGGAGAATTTACACATAGCCATTGATGGCATTTCGTATTGTGAAGTCAAGTGCATTAAAAATAATAATCAACAAAATCTGGTTCTTTGAAAAGATCAATAAAACATAGGCCTCAGACAGGCTAAAACAATCACAAATAAAAGACAGGACATCATTACAGATCTGATGAACATGAAAAGAATAACAAAGAAACATCATGAATAATTCTATGCCTACAAATCTGATAACCTGGAGGAAATGGACCAATCACTTCAAAGGCACAGTCTGCCAAAGCTCCCACAAGAAGAAACAGATAATAGCCCTATATCTCAGAGAAACTGGACCAATAAGTAGTAACTTCCAAAGCAGAAACCCTGGGTTCAGACGGTTCACTGGTGCACTCTACCAATCATCGAAGAAATTAGATCAATTTTCTACCATCCTTTCCAGAAAACAGAAGCAGAGGGAATATTTCCTAACTAATTTATCAGGCTAGAATTAATTAAAAATGTTATATATACATTTTTCTTCTATTTTTTTGAAAAATCTAACATTATAATCTACTGTATCATCATCCTAAAGGAAAACCACATGATCACGTCAGTAGATGCAGAAAAAGCTGTTGGAAGCCAGGACCCAGTCATGATAAAAACTTTCAGTAAATGAGGAACAAGGGAATTTTCTTCTGCATGATGAACAATGTCTACAAAAACCTTCAGCCAACAAAGCACCATGCTTAACAGTGATAAAACTTTTGAACTAAGATCAGAACAAGGCAGGATGTCCCCTCTCGCTCTCCCTTTCAACACTGTGCTAGAAGTCCTCGTTAGTGCAATAAGATAAGAAAAGGAAATAAAAGGTACACAGATTTAGGAGGAAGAAATCAAGCCCACTGTTTGTTTGTAGACTGCAGCCCCAGGCTCATGTCCTTCTATGTTTAAATGCAGGAAAGAGAGTAAGTTCTTCACCCAAGTAGCTTCTACGTAGTTCCCTGAATTCATTCTGATTTGATCAATTTGGACAGCATATGTTTTACAGAGCCAGTTGCTGTGATTCCTTTAGGTTTTCTAAGCAAGCATCATCATTCGCTGATTGGTCAGATCTGGGCCGCATGCTGGGTGCTACGTAAGGAAACGGTCCTGGAGGGGAATTCAGGATACCACTACGAGAAAAGCAAATGCGTCCAAGGAAGGCAAAACCAGTCAAATGTTCTCTATTTCGTACCACACTTTCCTTTAGCTTTCATTTCTGAAGTTTTCATGATCATTTCCACATCACAGATGAAGAACCAAGACCATCAAGTGCTACTGGGATGAAACTCAGATCAACTCACTGCGGAAGTGTTGTCCCAAGCCAGGCGTGCTGGCACATACACACCATCTCAGAACTAGGAGACAGAGGCAGGACCGAGTTCGAGCCCACCCTGGATAACTTAGTGACACAGCATGGCCCTATCTCAAAATAAAAATATAAAAATAAAAAGGCCTGGGCACATGGCTCAGTGCAAAGGTCCTGAGTTCAGTCCCCAGCACCACAAAGAAAGAAGAGGAATTATTTCATTAGACTAGATTGTGCTGCAGACTCAGCACAATCAGATTCATCACTTTAAAAATTAAAAAAACTCATTCCTCAGAAAAAGTTTCTTTTTTTTTGCTGGATAAAATAAAGGATTTTGGAGGCAAGTATAGAAAAGTTTCCCTTTCCATATTATCAGTTGCTATTCCAGCTTCTGGATTCCACTGAGACCCACTTTGCTTTCCAGAATTCTCAGCCCAAATTTCAGAAGGTCTTCTCCAATATAACTTCCAATTTTAGAAGCCCTCCCTTTGGAGTGGTTTTGTACTTTCTGCTCATCTCCTCTCACTTGGAAATCTACAGACTCATCACTTTCACGTATAGATTTTATTGTCCTCACTTGTGGTATAAGTCTTGTTGTGTCAGTAACCTTGGTTTATATTTTTATGGCCCTTATAACTTAACACAGCCCTCAAATACTTAAATTTGAATTTGTACCTGTTTCTGACAACCTGCATAGCTTTTGGAAAGACATACCGAAGAGTAAGACAGCAAGATGTTTAAAATATAAATAAAAAACATTTTCTTTATCCAGTCTCCAGTTGATGGGCATCTGGGCTGTTTCCAAGTTTTAGCTATCACAAACTGTGCTGCTATGAACATGGGTGCACATATATCACTGTGGTAAGATTCTTTTAATTCTTTGGGGAAGAAACCCAGCAGGGGAAAAGCGGGGTCAAATGGGACTTCCAGTCCTAGTTCTTTGAGGTATCTCCATACTGATTTCCACAATAGTTGCACCAGTCTGCACTCCCACCAGCAGTGGAGCAGGGTTCCTCTTTCCCCACAGCCCCACCAGCATTTGTTATTGGTTGATTTCATGATAGCAGCCATTCTTTCTGGAGTGAAGTGGAATCTCAGCGTTGTTTTCATTTGCATCTCTTGAATGACCAGTGATGTTGAACATTTTTTCATGTATTTATTTGCTATTTCTACTTCTTTGTCTGAGAAATGTCTGTTCATTTCAGATGCCCATTTTCAGATTGGGTCTTTAAATTTGGGAGGTCTGATCAGAAAATAAGAGGCCATGTCAATGAAAGAAAAGGGCTCAATTATTTCAGAGGTAATTAGATCATTATACCCAACAATACATTTGTTTCCAAAGAGCGAGACACCTGAATTACATACTGGATGACTGTGCATTGGCAGAATCACTTCCTCCCCAATCAAACTGAAGCTGAACCTGTTAGAGGCCACAGCAGTGTGGCCTGGTGGTGGTGAGGGCTCCAGGTTTGATAGGCAGTGCTCAAACTCTCTAGACCTCAGTTTTTCATTGGAGAGAGGATGACTTTGCTAACTCTAAGCCCGTGTTATTGTAGGAAGCATTATCGTCATGCTAGTAACATAATGAAAATAACAGCTAGAATGATCGGACACATGGGTTGAGGGCTCATGTGGAATGCCTTGCTTCCCTCTCGTTTCCTGCTGGATGGAAGCTCAGCAGGAGGAAGGACCAGGGTGCAGATTCAGTGGCCCCTCGTGGGTGCAAAGCTCATTTCTGTACTCTGTGGCCTGAGAACATCTCCCACACCCAGCTTTTCCCAAGAGTAACAGACACTGCATGCTTTCCCACTCCACCCTTTCCCCAGGACGAAGGGCATCCCTGGGCTGTGTTTGGGCCCATGAAAAGGGGAAACGGCACATGACACAGACATACCAGGCCTCTGCGGAGTGACCATCCTGTGCTGCATCAGCACATGTACAGCGATGGCAGACCGCGTGGTGTCGCATGATTGGAGGTGGATGATGCCTGTCTCCCAGTGACGCCGTAGCCATGGCAATATCATAGTGCAGTCCATCACTCGTGCGTTTGTGGCGACATTGGTGTAAACAGCCCACTGTGTGCAAGTCATACAAAGGTGCAGCAATGGAGCTGTGTGAAGTCCATCACCCTGGAAATGATAGTAAGTGACCATGTTGCTGCTTTAGGTATTTGCTGTACTACTCTTTTTAAACTATTAGAAGGTACTTGTACTTATATGAAACTGTTTGCTCTCAAGCAGCGTGCAGCGTTAATGTCTGCCAAGGCCCTTGATAGTCTGGTCTCCCCGTGCTCGACTGACTCTTGGGTTGCTTTGTCCCTCACGTCTCCAGGAGGAACAGTCATGCACAGGTGCATACCACATAGCACAGGTGTGTGGTGGATGGCACGGTTAGGTTTGTGTGGGAGTGATGTGTGCACAGTGATGACACAACCTGCCTGTGCACATCTCAGATGTACCTGCTTCATGGGCAGTGTGTGACATGTCAGTCATTATTTTAGGGGGCCTGTTTTGCATGTTTGTGTGCTCTTTTTAGGTCAGGCCAAGCCCTCCCTGTCTGTCCCCGTCACTGCACACAGCGCCCTCTGCCGGTCCACCCTCTTCACTCCCCCATCTGCTTCCAAAGAGACCTTAGGTCCAGGTTGGGGTGGGCATTGGTCCCGAGATGCTTTACCCCTTCAGTGAGTTACAGGAAAGGTCATGATCTGAACCCGATGAGACCTGAGCTTCGGACACACCACTCCTCAGTGCCAGGCCTGGGCCCTCCCTCGGAAATACTGTGTCACCAAGGATGGTGCCAGCCAGCTGCTCGGGCCTGGCAGCTTCCTTGGGGACCCGTCGGGGACTGCTGCTCCCCAGGGCGAGGAGGGCCGGAGCCCCCTCAACCCTCAAGGAATGAAGGCAGCTCCAGCATCCCCAGGTTTTATTTGCCTCTAATTTGGGTTAAAGAAGGGCTTCTGCAGTGCTCAGCAGAGCATCCAGTGGCCTGGGGTAAGTCTGGTTTCACAATCTCCTGCGCACTTCCTCTCCGGGTGGTGCTGGCTGCCCTGGTCGGGACCTCATTTGCATCGTGCCACTAATAGTGAAGGACAGCGGGTGGGTAATGCAGATTTCCTTCCTTCACTTCTCCAGCTTCTGAAAAGCAACCCAGTACTCCAAGGGATATTGTTTCTTTGAAACCAGCCACAGAGAGACAGCCACGGGTTAGAAGGGAGAGCGAGACCTGAGAAAAAGCTCCCTGCTGGAAAGTATTTACTGGGGGAAGGGAGGAGAGCAAAGGGAGGAAGTAAACAAAACATTCCATCCGATGTGATTCAGAATTTCCCAGCTGCTAAGCCAGTGGGCCGCTGGAGAGCTCTAAATCACCAAGACTTTATCCAAACATCCTCTGAGCAGTCCTAGCGGGAGAGGCAGGGCCCGCGGACGGAGGGCAGGAGACCGCTGTGGCCTTTCCTCGGCCTCTCCTTCCCCACGGTCACCCCGTGTAGGACAGATGTGTGTCACCAAGCCCTTCCTGTCACAACACAACGTGCTGCTCCAAAACAGCCCACAAGTCAGCCACATGCCCAGCCCCGGTTGTTGGACACTTTGCCCTGTTGAAGTAGAAATGTTTTAAGCCCCAGCCCCTCTGGCCATGGCACACCCCGGGTCTCCCTCTGACCCTGCTCTTGGTGTATCTTCATTTAGATTGTCTCTTTACCCACACATCCTGTTGTGTTTCTCCTCTTACAGCTTTTTCTTTCCACTTTATGCTTATGTCTCCGTGCAATGCCTACCCCTCCTTTTTCAATTTCCTCCAAATGCTGCATATAAAAGAACCTAGGTCATAAAATTTAGCAGCCACAACAAATAGGGAATAACGATAGGAGAGTGACATTACGGAAAGGCAGCTAACTTCAAATGGAATTGGGGCATTTGTATTTTTAAAACTTGCAGGACAGGGCTATCACTGAGGACGTGTCACCAGCCACCTCTCACGCCCCTGCCCCCAGCTGGCTGCAGACCCTGGCTCCCCTCCCTCCCCCCGAGCCCCTTCCAGGCCAATGCCGGGTGCTTCACATTTTCTCCAACTCCATTTTCTCCAGCAGTTCAGCTCTTCCTCTCTTTCCCCCCTCGTTCTCCTTGGCCATAGCCTGGGACTAGTTTTCCACATCTGAAGTGGTCCAAAGTATCTTTGTGAAAAGTAAACAAACCAACCAATGTCAGATTAAGACCCTACGAATATTCTGCTGAACCCACCCGAGTTCACATCGCCAAGGGTATCTCTGAGGAATCCGGTCTGAACATGAGGCTCTTGTCTAGCAAACATGTTCTTGTTTTAAAAGTTTCTGCAAATATCACTGCCTTTGGAAAACACGTAATGAACAATTCAAACTAGCTGCTGTGCGGGGTGTGAAGGTGGCACTGCTCAAGATGGGGACCTCGTCGGCCTTGTCCCTCGTGTGCTTAGCATTTAGTAGGTGCTCGGTAGGACCCAAGGACAGTGAAGGACAGAGACTGTTCTGGCCGAGAGAAACTCTCACATCTACTCAAACTTTTACAGAAGAAATTTCTGGGAAGGAAGAAGTCCAGAGTCGTTACTGTCTGTAGCTACTGGTCCTGCTCAAGATCTGAGCAGTGATGCACACCCAAAAGCGAGACACAGGAAAACTTGAAGCCAAAGTTAAGCCTGAGGGACACTAACTGCTCTCGTTGATGGGCTCAACTGTAGCATTACAAAGCAGGTATCTGTTTCATCAGGTCAAAGAGCTCTGCTTCCTAAGGGGTGACCCCACCCATCCAAGACTGTGGAGGACTCGGTACCCTTGGGAGCAAGAGGCTGGTCCATGGGAGAGCCATGTCCCCCTTGCTTCTGTGGACCCTGACTTTGCCACCCCCCATGGCACTCCATATAGCAAGTTTATGACTCATCGCACAATTAATACCCTCATTTAGTTCAGTTAAATATGAAAGTGCTCTACAGACACTAAAGTCTACTGAATAGCTACTTGCTATTCTTAATACCGTTTGAAAGGCTTCTCTTCCTTTCTTCCAGGTCTGCTGTGTTTTATTGATCATGTGACCCTGGCATCCCACACCCTTCCTGAGGGCGAGCAGACCCTGAAGAGCGTGCCCGCTGGCCAGGATGGGGAAGGGAGCATGGGGAAGTGGAGGACACAAGTCATCTAATCCTGTGCTCTGTGTGCTCTGTGTGCTCTGTGTGCAGTGCAGCCCGGAGACCCCAGCTAATTGGCGACCAGGCCCAGTAATGGCACCGATGAAGTGAATGTCACTGTGCCATTGGCAAATTAATTTTTCTCTTCAGACTTCAGTATCTGTACCTGTAAAACTGGAAAAAAAACCCCATATTTCTATGAGTTATTGGGGCTTCCATGAGATCCTGGTCATTTGGTAGCCGGAGTACAGTCCTGAGTAGGTGGACAATTAATGCTGGCTATTATTAGTCACTGGTATTTGCAATATTATGTGATCCTGCAGGATCATTTTGGGGATTAGAATAACGTGTGTAAATACAGAGCCTGCCTCATGGAAGGAACAGAAACATGTATTCTTACTTACTGAGGACTTATTTCATGTTAAGCACTCTTCTGTCTGTGTGCACAAGGAGTGTTCCCAATAGCCACAAAGGTGTGCACTACTTCTGTCCTCACTTCTCAGGTGAGGAAACGGAGCATAGAGAGAGGAATCATAGGAAAATGCAAACCAGACCCACAGTTAGAAATCACCCCAAGCTACCTAGGATGGCTCTTGTCACAAAGACAAAAGATAAAAAGTGCTGGCGGGGTAGAGAGAAAAGGGACCCCGGGCACACTGTTGGCGGGGATGTAAACGAAACACTGTGGGATTCCTCACAATGTTAGAGGTGGAACTGCCATATGATGCAGGAATCGCATCCTGGGTACAACCAAAGGAGCAGTCCGTGTGTGGAACAGACCTCTGCACGCCCACACTCACTGTGACACTACAGTCAAGAGTGGGACACAACCCGAGATCCACCAATGGACGGAAGGGTAAAGGAAATGCAGGCCACAGACACAGTGGAATACTACACAGCCACGAAGAGAACGAAAGCCTATCATTTTGGACAATACGGACAGAGCTGGAGACTTCTGTTAACTGAAATTAGCAGGGCACAGAAAAATAAGAACTGCATGATTTCACTCAGGTGGAATCTAAAAAGTTAATATCATGGGAACTGGGGGGAGAACAGCGGTTCCTAAAAGCCTGGAGGGATGGGAAAGGTCAGTCACTAGGTACTAAGTCCCAAGCTGACGGGAGTATGAAGCTCTGGTGTGCTAGTGCACGGTAGGCCCAATACAGTACACAGTTATGCAGTGTATACTTCACACCCACAAAAGAAAGAGTTTTTGGTGTTTTCACCAGAAAGGACAAATATTCAAGGAGTCAGATGCATTTAACCGGAGCTAAACATCACATCGTGCATGTATGTTTTGAAACATCTCATGGCAACACATTATGTATCTGTTAGAAAGAGATGTGATTTAAATTAGAAAACAGAGGTGAAGGAATTTGGTTAAGGTCACACAGCTCCTTGAGAGCTTAACAGATTTGGGCCCAGGCAGATTGGCTTCAGAATCTGTTTTACTCATCATTGCTTCTCCCTCCCTCCCTCCTTTCCTTCCTTCCTTCCTTCCTTCCTTCCTTCTTTCCTTCCTTCTTTCCTTCCTTACTTCCTGCTTTCCTCCTTGTTTTTCTTTAGCAACATTCATAATAACTAGGGGCAGAAAGTTCGATTAATGCATGTTCTAACTATAGGAGTTCATATAAAGGAACAGATTCTCCTAACATACTTTTAAGACTAGTTTTTGGCAGTTCACTGAGTCTTCCAGGAATTTTATCAAGAAGGCTGGTTGTGTTTTCATGGCTCACTGTAAAATTCCTCTAGTGTCTACGCAGGGGAACCATGCTCCATAATGCTGGCAAAAACTAGTGCTGTGAGATTTCAGCGACGGCTGGACAAAGCGCTGGGCTGCAGAGCTCCATTTATTTTTTAAGTGTGAGCTACAAGGACAAACTTGGCAACACCAAACTCAAGCAGGTGCTTGTCTGGTAGCCACAGCCTTCTTCCTTCTCCTGCTTTGTCACCAAGCATGGAGAATCAGCTGTCC